ACTACAAACACGACCACCACCATTAACAACAACAACAACAACAACAACAACAACCACAACAACTACGGCAGCAACAACAACGACTCTCACGACTCATCAACAATAACGTACCTCCAACACCTCCACTGCCAGTACCACCACCAACAACTACAACAAAACTACCAACACCACCAACACCACCACCATCACCACCATCACCACCACCACCAACAACAACAACAAGAACACTACCACCACCACCAGCACCACCACCACCACCACCACCAACAACAACAACACCACAACAAACAACAACAACAACAACAACAAAACTACCACCACCACCACGACTACCACCACCACCACCACCACCAACATTCAACAACAACAACAACAACAACAGCAACAACTACCACCACAACCATCACCACCACCACAACCATCACCATCACCACCATCACAACAACAACAACAACAACAACAACAACAACAACAACAACAACAACAACAACAACAACAGCAACAACAGCAACAACCACCATCACGACTCACCAGTTTGGAGCAGTACCCAACCATCTTGGACAACAGCTGCCCGTCCTCCACATAGGGCTGTTTCTGTTTGAGTTGTTTGATCGCTTTGTGCCTCGCCGACAAGAGAGCTACGAGAACGCTTTCACTCGCAGAACCCTGCACGGAGGTGTACATAATCATCATTATAGCGGGTGGTTGGCGGGTGCTCTGGTGTGGTTTGGTCCTTCTTTCCTATAAAGAATCTATCGTCCCTATCTCCCCTCCTTCTTTTATATGTTTGTTACTCTCTTGTTACACCTCAAATCTTCGGCACTTACATGAACTTATGCAGTTGAGAGCGCCGTAAAACCTCTTCTAAAACTAAACTAAACTAAAGAATCATTATACACTGTATGCTTCCCGGGAAGCAGAGAATGGTTCTGAGTATTCTATGGTCTGCTGGGGTAACAATATTATAGTGTAAAGCGCATAGAGCTTGCCTTCGAGTGGGGACATGCGCTATACAAATGCTATTTATTATTATTATTATTATTATTATTATTATTATTATCATATTATTTTTACACGTTCCCTCAGTGGGTTGTTGGCGGGTGCTTTGGTGTGGTTTGGTCCTTTTTCCCTAACAAGCATCGATCGTCCTTACCTCTTCTTACTTTTTTAGTAACGCTTCTATTCTTACGGCACTTATGTCAGGTGTTGTTTGTTACTTCATTCCTAACAAAAATCTATCGTCCTCATCTCTTCTTGTTCTTCTTTTCTTTGTACGTAACTCACTAGTAACACCTCTATTCTTCGGCACTTTTATTACCTAAGTGTTTTGCAAGTGCTGTAAAACTTTCACTGAAACATTTCTTCGTTAACAGCACTGTAGCAGTGGAGGTTATCCATTAACTCAAATGGTGTCATGTTGGACTACGAGGCAGATGGGCCCGGTTCGAATCCCAGACTGGGAATTTTGGACTGTCCAGACAGGACAGACAGTCTTAAAGTAGCATGCGTGGTATTGCTTTGCCTAGTTGGCAAACATGGTGAAGGCTAACATTGCATAATGAAAAATAAATGAAACAGAAACAAAGAAACAAAGCAAAGACGCAAATTAGTAAATGAAAAAAATAGACAAATGAAAAAAGTGAATAAATTAAACGACACCAAAGAGTGGCTTCAGCTTATCAGTGACATATATTACCCACTGATTATCCTGGACACTCTTCTGATAGATAGAAATACAATGCACGTTGTCTGAGACAGCTAACTAATTAATTGTTGAGAGAAAGGTAGAAAAGCTGTCTTAAATAGATGAATGCCTTGTAACGGTTATTCAGAAGCTAAAAAACGAAAAACAATGCAGGGAGCAGGGGTGGGGGGGGGAGTTTGTACAGATGATTGTCTGGAACAGGTGGTCACTAGAGCAGGTTTGACTTAACATAAATAGCCTGCAGGATTTGAACCAAGGCCGTCTATATAAGTCTCACCTGAATCACTCCACCGCCCTCTCCCGTCTGATGAAGGAATTGTTTCGGAAGCCCAATCATCTTGCCTGAAAAGAAAAAAAGATCATATTTGTGAGGCATCCTTACCTCTGAAACCAGGTAATCCCCACCTCATAATTCAATCACGAATATCTATACTTCTATTGAAGATAGATGGATATTTTCTTTTCTCGAAAAGCAAGACAGATTAATGAACAAGCTTTAAGATAAAACCAAAAATTTTAAATGCCCCAAAATCGACGAGTGCCTGATTACTCCTCGACCTGATACATTTTAAGAATATACAATTTAAAAATAGCGAATAAAAAAAAAAATGGTGTAGAGATAAGGGTCTTCCTTGTTCGTGTCTGAGATTCTGTTTGGGTTTTTTAAAAGTTGAACTCTCGGGTCAATATTGATGACTGACGTCCGCGACATTTTCACCAAGGGCAAGATCTGCGACGGACACCGGCAATCAAGGTTCGCCACTTATACCTTTGCTCTGCTGCTCTAACAACCTC